AAACGGGCTAAAAATGTTTTCATAACCCCACTTTTGATCGCAGAATCCAAAAATATGAAAAAATATATACCTTAATTTCGACCATTCCACTAGAATTCTCGATGGGCTCGTAAAGCCTCTCTTAAATTTATGAAAAAATATTTCATTTTATTTTGAATTTGATTAAGAGCCAGTGCACCTTACGAACGACCTAAGTTGCTCAATTTGTTTTTTCGAGTTTTTTGCACGTACTTGCACGGTAGGTAGCAGCCACACACTTAGGAAGATTCCCGAGAGCTGTCCGTCACAGAGCAAAGTTCCAGATTTGAGATTTCCTTTCAAACTTCGGAATTTATGAACTTTTAGACTTTACGAATTTTTGAATTTACGGATTTTTAGAATTCATGAATGTGTGAATTTAGGAATTTTTACAATTTATGAATTTACAGATTTTTGGAATTTAGGAATTTGTGAATTGGTCGGTCTAGAAACGAACAATAATTGTACAAGCAGCTATAGAATGATAAAAAGTAGGTATAATCATGATCTGTTTCAACGTGGAAGACACTCGCTGCTTTTGTAGTTGTGACACTGTGTCATACATAAAAAAAATTGGCCCTTTTTAAAAAATACTTTTGATGTTTTGCTCAAACTGGAAAATCCTTCGCTACTTGAAAAACCCAAAACGATATTTCCTAGGCCAAATGCGTTTAGGAAAAACTCTTCTAGTTTTTACGAACGCTAGAAAATCCTTCGACTCTTTCTAAAAAACACTTTTTATTTTTTTGGTCAAACAAAAATCCTTTTGGTTTTTAAATACGTTTTTTTCGGTTTAGGGTGATAAAAAAGCCCTTACTTGCCAAGGACTTTCACAAAGTACTTAGCGATAAAAGCAAGTATTTTTATCATTGAGAAGCACTTTTGAAACTATATTGCAAGTGAGAAATTTTGGAAACACTTGCCAGTTTTTCCAAGTACTTACCAAGTACATAGCAATTAATCAAGTACTTGCATCAAGTACGTTCTCTAGGGATAGACACCAACTGTATGTGAGTGTAGGTGTGAAAAACTTTCAAAAAAGTTTCTCTTTGGATTGTTGATATCTATACGATAGTTAAAGGCCTATACAAAATTTTATAGGATAAACAATTTGGAAATTTGAATATATCTTATTCATCCAACCTTTAGAAGAAAATATATTTTGTCACTTCGTTTTACTCTTTCAAGATATTAGTCAACAGAGACAATCCTGAATTTATTTTTAAATTAGCCCTGTTTCACAAACTCTGTTTTTACATTTTATTGCGGATGTGAGAATGACAGAAGTATGAGAAGAGGAATAGAATGAGTGAAGGCTAATAACAATCACTATGATGAAGCGAAAGAATGTCTTATGTCAGTTAGGCATGCAACGGTCATAACCGTAACCTTAAATAACCGGTCGAACGATTGACCGCCCATGAAATATTTTTGATACCCTAACGCAGGTTAGCACGCGTTAAAAGAAATAATAATTTAACGCATGCGCACAAGTTAAGTACTCTGGAATGCATGCAAACGTGTTATCTTCTGAACTTGTATGAGACCAGAAATGTTTCGAAATTAATACTAACTCGTTAAGAAGACAATTTTATTACAAAAAATTAAAAGTTGGGTTAAAACGAGTTAACCAGGAAAAGTTTAAGATTGTAACGCGACCGGTAAGCGGATTAACGAGTTAAAACCGCGTTAAATGTTTCATATTCAGTGGTTTTAACGAGTTCAATTTGTAACGTTTGCTAACATTAGACCTCATAGTAAAGCGTTCAAACTCTTTTAGTTTTAACGCATCCGAACCATACAGTTTTCTAAACGCGTTAACATATCAGACACCGTCGCACTCGTTATAACAGATTTTTTTAAAGATATTCTAGAACAAATGTTTTCACGAGTTCACACCCGTTCCTATCCATTCTGCTTTATTGTCGCACCTTAACTCGTTTTTATCTCTCTCCCACCTTTGATTGCTTTTTATTCAGCATCTGAGTCCCAAAATCCACGTACAGGTGAATCTTAGGTAGCAGACCATAGTCATGGCCTACCAAGTACTATTCATCAGTACCATTATGATAGATAATCTCGTACACACAGGAAGAGACAAATTTTTAAAATTTCTAAGTTGATGCATCTTATATCTAGTGGAAAACTTGCGGTACTTATATACGAGTTGATCATGCAAAACAAAACGGTGATTAGAATGTCAACGCTTTAACGCGTTCGTATGCGTGAACTTTTCTATGAGTCATCGTTTAATCAGTTTGCACAGGTTAGTAGCTAATCTAACCCGTTAAAACAGGGTAAAATACATGTTCGTTAGAAATGGAGGCGGTTTTTACACTTTACAACGTGTTAACGGTTTATATTATTGAATTTTGATAAATCCGTCCGTTCTAACTGCTGAAGTTGAAATATCGAACACGTTACAATGCGTAATTGTTTAGTTTAGTCCGATAATACGTGTAATAACAGTACGCTATCTGTCCTAAGGATTTTTGTCTGTGCTGCGTCCCTTTTTCAATTGGTCTATATGCTTCTCTGATAACAGGAGAGAAAATGATCTGTCTGACGCATACTCACTCTTTTTATCTTATAACTGGTGTGTAGACCAGATATAGGATGACTCATTCCATCGTTCACAGACAGAGTATTCACTAATGCGGTATAACCAATTTCTTTACCGATTCATTTCCAGAAAAAATAATTATTGGGTGTAGTAGCATATAGTCACATACTTAATTGCAAGTTAAATAAGCACCCTTAAGGGGTGATTATTTAGATTAAACTTTAAATTTTAGCCTTTATATCTCGAAAAGTCGTTGATTGTTTAGTTGTTTAAGTTCTTCTTAAGCATAAGAAGGGAAAACTCAAGCAAGTAAAACTATCATATTATTTTAATGAAAGATCAAAGAAACACGTTCTTTTTCGTTTTCCAAATATGATAGAGAGCACATAGTACTTGTTTTGTTGGTTAGTGTTTTTAGTTGTTTTGAAAAATGTTGTTTATCATCTCATGTGTTTTTTAAAAAATGTTCATTCTGACAACAGAAACTTAATGGTGATGAAACGCGCTCACTATAGGGTACCACTCTCGATGCATTACCATGAATCCAGCAGCTCCAAATTTTCGTTTCATATCAAGCAACCAAAACCAAGCAACACAACCCACAGCCCTTCCGCTCTTCCGACAACCATTAAACAACTGTTGATATCTTTTTTATACTAAAAAACTTTTTTCCTTTCCTTTTCTTTTTTTCCAACGTTTTATCCACTAACTATTCACCACAACTAACTATGTATTACCTTTCTCCTAACTTTCCTAAGCACTTTCCTGAACTCTACTAACTTCACACAAAAAGAAAATAACAAATTTATTAACCACTAATTTCTGCAAACAAACCTTCGGCACTACAGAACAAAAACAAAAAAACACCACAGGAGTTCGGATAGTGACTTCTGTTATGTCAGTCGTCACTGACATTCCTTCCCCTTCCTCTTTTCTATTTTTCATTATCACAAAGAATGTTGACTCAGTTCTGGTTGAGTCAACATTCTTTCTTCATCTATATAGAGTGTCTGTTTGTACACACCGAGGCAGTTTTTTTGTTTTGACGTTTTGTGTGATTTTATTCTTTCGAATAAAATCTGTGGAGGCTAGCAAATGGTGCACTAGCTGGCGTGCATTTATTTATTGTGGCATTAAAAATGGAGCACGTCGATGCCATCTTACTGCAGACAATATTGAAAGATTTAACAAAATTTAGTGGCAGCCAACAGCAACATGTCAATGATTGGCTATTAACAATTAATCAAAAATTCGATGCATGTGAATTGACTGAGCCACAACGTCGTAAATGGGCTGTGGCATTTCTTTCTGACGAAGCCTTGAAGTGGTATACTCGTCAATTGATTAAACTGAAACATGGGAAATTAAACCACAACGTCCGCCATCTACGTTCTTCACACAACTAAATGCCGTCATTACGCGTCAACAAGCTAAACGATTAATACCAGCTCCGCCTCTGACAACCTCCACGGCAG